TTTTCTGCCCTTGACATTCAAGATTGCATCCTTTCAGGTATCCTCCAGGGTTAGGGAGAGGCAGGAGGGGGCGGGAGCTTCCGGTAACAGGCACCTGGAGTGAGCTCGCTGAGGCTGCCCAGTCCACCTGGGGGACTGAGGCCTTCTGTCCCCAGCCAGAAAGGGGCGAGGAGGGACCATTGTCCCTCAGCCTTCCCCCTTGGGCTCCCGTGGAGGTGGCCATGGCACTGCTCCCTGCCCTGTCTTCCTGCCCCCTTTCTGTAGGGTGGACCACAAAGGCCCAATGAGGTAGACACCCAACCCCAGGCTGGGTGATGTCAGGGGCCTGCAGCCGAGCTCCCTTCCCCCTGCCACCCACAGGTGTGTCTGCCACTGCCCGGGTAACCCCTCTGGAAGGTCTCTGTGGGTCACTGTGTACCGCCAAAGGCCTCCAAGGACAGGGTAGCTGGTTTGGAGGAGGCACAGGCCATGGCCATCACAAGCCTGGCCCGGCCGCAGCCGTGGCTTTTTGTTTTAATTTTCAGTCTCTGTATGAATGTCAGGCTGGTTTCCCAGGGGCGCCGCTCAACCGACTGGAGCCCTTTCTGAAAGTGCCGTATGAGTAATCTGGGTCCTTTCGTAGGTGTTTACGGCAGGTGCGTTTTTGGTCTTTTGAGGTCAGAGGCTAGAGCTCTGGACCGGCCGTGTGGGATTTTTCTCTCCAGAATCAGTTGTCAGAACTTTCCGGAAGGGTCCAAGACTTTTTGTCGATTCTAGGGGCAGACACTTTTGTGTCCCTGCCTGGGCAAGCACACAGCTCAGTGGACAGGTGGGCCAGGGCAGGGAACTGTAAGTGCAGGGCACTCACCACACCGTGGGCACCTTCGCTGGGGCCCCACGGCCTGGCCCGGCTGGCAGGGAACATACCCTGGGCCCTCCCACTCCGAAGCCTGCTGATGAGCCATGGTTCCCAGGAGGCCGGAACCCTAACCAGCAGGCAGAGCCAGCGGCACCGGGCTGCAGAGGTCGGTTCTGCTATAATCACAGATCACTCGGGGCAGCTTCTCTTGCAAAATCCTGGGCTGCCACCACCCGTGAGGGAGGCGGGGCAGCAGAGGGAGGGAACGTGTTTGATCTTCAGGTGAAAGGCGGCTTTATAAATAGGTCACCTTGTTCCACATCCTGAATTTCATTCTTTCCCCATCTTGAGTCAAAACAATGGTTTTACTGTTCTGGGGTCAGTCGCCCTGAGGGGGAACTGAGCCCGAAAGGAGGTGATTGGGTGTCTGCCTCCTCCCTGTGTCTCCTGCCCCCACCCCTACTCCGTCCATCTGTCACCTGTCACCTAGGCTGCATGGTCGCCAATACCCACGCAGAGCACTGCTGGTTTAGTGAACTTTCTCTTCAACGACAGAACAAAGGGACCAGTTCTAATAGGGGTGGGGCTCCGGGCGAATTGATCTGAAGAGGTGTTTTTTTGGAAGGCGAACTGCAGAGCTGGGGTTTCATCGAAGGGACAGCACAGAGTTTCGGGCAGGCGCTGAGCCTGCCGTCCTACCTGAGCCCAGGGTGGGGATTCTTGCTCCTCTTCTGTCACTGCCGTCCCTCCTGTTCCGGGCTCCCCTGCGTGCCCTGTTCTCGTGTGGGGCTGGGAGGGACAGACAGCTTCCCATTTCTATTGGGCAAATTAAAACTTGTCACTTAGAAAGCAGTGTAATTGGGATGTCCTGGGAGAAATCGCTGTAGAAAGAATGTCTCTCTTTCGGACGGTCTCAGAGCTCCAGCTGGGAATTCCGACCTTTCAGTTTAAATGTCCTCCTCAACTCTGGATTCAGTGTGTATCTTGGTGGGCAAATGAAACCTGTATCGAGTGTCTGACGAAAAGAAGGGAACGTACAGGGCAGCCTGTAGGAATTGCTCTGGGGACAACTTGTTTTTGTGGATGTAGTGTGTTAACTTGGTATTTCTCAGCCTTGCATTCTTTTTTGTGTACTTAAAAATCATTATCATTACAATGAGCTTAACGTATGCATTTTTGGAAAGTTTTGGTTCAAAAAGTATTCGAAGTGAATTGCCTCCCTCCCACCCCCACCGCCCCGGGCTCTGCAGGATTAACCACTGTGCGAGTTCAGGGATTATGCTTCTAGCCCTCAACCTGAGCCTACGAGAAGAAAAAGGCTCACAGAGAGAAGCCTTGTAAACCCCGTTCTTACAGAAATGGGGTCACGCTCTGCGTATTGTTCTCCGAGTTGCTTTTTAACACATAACAGCATCACATTCCATTTTGTGTTAATTCATTACATCCAAAGGGCTGCCCCCTCCTCTCCGAGTCTGCTGGAGTGCACATTTCTGTGCCTGTCTTTGTCCACATGTCCCTGGGCGAGGCTATGAGGTTTCATAGACCCTGGAAAAGCGGGTGGTGGGCGATTGTTGGATGTTTTATACCCGAATGGCACCTGCAAGCTGAGAAGCATGCCCCAGTCTGGGGGTCTGTCTGTGTGTCTTGGACACGCACCCTGCATCCTCTCGTGTCCCTCAACCTTTTTTAACCCTGTGGACCCCACATGGCTCGTCCCCTCTCACTGATAGCTCTCAGCCAGCACCCCACTTCTGCATGGCTTGTGTGTGAAAACAGTGGGTGTATCCAATAGGTGTCTCCACCCCCATGTGCCAGGGAACATGGCGGTGGGTGTGCCCATCCCCTACCCCTTTAGGCCATTAAAGGCTCCACCCGGGTCTCAGCCCCCCACACAATGCACTCAGGGATGCCTTTGACTCCTCCCCACCTAGGGATTGGCATCCAGTTCTGGGCCTCCTTCATGCCTCCACTAATTCCACCCGAGGGCGCAGAGGGCCCCCCTGGAGGAGCACAAGAAACAAGAGGGAGGATGGTTTTGGGGGCTCTGCCAATGCCTGGCTTAGAAGTGACCTTAAACTTGATCTGTTCTAGCTCAGCATTCGAAGCACTTGGGTCTTGGCCCAAAGGCGGAATCCATCTGTAGAACCAGGTGCAGTGACCCAGAGAGGGATAACAGTGAGCTTTGTTCAGTGTGTGGAGCACATGTTAGAGGAAAGTGACCTTGCCAGTTGTCCCGGTCTCGCTGGAACACTGTCTCTGTGATGCCTGGGCCAAGCGTGGGACACCCATCTCACAGAGGAGCAAGCAGAAGCTGGGGCAAGCTACGGGGCGTCCTGGGCTATGTCCCCAGCCTCTGTCTCCCCCAGGATTAGGAGCCTGGGGGAGGAGCCTGGGGGGGAGGCATCCTGCTAGAGAGCAGTCCCCTAGAAGGGGCAATGGGAGCTCCTGGGGGACATGCAGAAGAACAGGTCACATTTAAAAAGCGATGGAAAGAGGAAGGCGGCCGGATGGCTTCAGGGGCCTTGTGGGGCTGTGGCCGGGTGTGGACAACAGGAAGGCGGTGAGAACGGAGCGGTGGCTCTAACCAGGGTTGGACACTGGGTGGAGACTGGCAGGTGACAGGTGAGTCATGAGTGGCCCCAGGGTTGCCACAGTGATTGATCGCCTAGGAGATGACTCAGATGGCAAGATGACCCAGAAGTGGCAGATCCCACATCTCTCCCAGCTAGGCCCTGAGCTGCCCTTGTGCGGAGCCACCGGGTGATGCTGTATGTGCCCTCCCGCCTCTACCTCCCAGAGGCTCCCTTCGCTCAAGGTTGTGTGGTCCAGGGGCAGGAAGGGGCCCTCCCCACTGGAAGGTTCCTAACACGGGGATCCGGGAGGGTAGGAGCTTAGCACAAGGACCGGTTACATAGACTTGCCTGGCAACCGGCCTTGAAGGCGGCGGATTCTCAGAACGGGAAGAGCTTGTGGAGCCGACCTGGACAGACAGAGGGCCCGCCCCTGTGAGGTGACGCTGCCTTTCTCTGTCACTTGTTCTAAGGTTGGACTGACTTGGCTGCTTCAAGATTCCTCCTCGTACGCGTCTTGTGCTTTCCTACTGCCGCCATCGCGCAGCCGTCGTGTGCGGGGGCTGGGTCAGGGGAACCTTCATCTAGCTCGGGGCTTGGCTGGTGCACCGCCTGTTCTTGTCCGTAAAGTTTTATTGGAACTCAGCCGTGCTCATTTACTGACACACTACAGTGGCTGTTTTCTTGCTACAAGCAGAGTTGGGTAGTTGCATGGAGACTGTCCAGTCCACGAAGCCTAAAACATCTGGTGCTATACAGACGAAGCAGATCCCTGCTCCAGCCCAAGCAGGAGTTACAGGTGTGACCAGGCCCAGGCTTAATGGCCTGAGAGCTCCCTCCCTCTCGCCCTTTCTCACCCTGCACCCTGTCATCTCTTCCCTCTCTCCACCCATCATGCTCCCTGTTACGATCCTTCTCTACTCCCACCCATTTCTGTACACGTGTTTTAATTAATGTGTTAGAAGGACTCTCCCCCGACCTGCACACAGAAGAGTGTCACTGGCGCCACTGTCCAGGCCAACGCAGTGGGACGTGGGACCTTCTGGGGAGGTTGCTGCAGTCTCGGGGCCTTCCAGCCGAGCCCACTTGCCGCCCTCAAGTTAAACTTGCTGCCTACTCCAGGGTTCTCCTCCCTGGTGAGAGCCAAGGGGCCTGTGGGAGGTGGCATCTCAAAGAGTTTCTGCTGCCTCCTGAAGCAGCAGGACGTCGGCTCCCCTGCTAGGACCAGGGGAGATGCCCACGGCACGGGCTGACTCCAGCATCTGTGCCAACGCAGCCTTCTGCCCTGAAGAGCCGCGATCAGGTACACGGTGCACTCTACACAGTGGAGCACAACGCCAGCCCCCACGCCTCCCTCCCTCCTCTCGGACTGCCAGGGGGCAGCCCCTCTCCCTTAGGACGACACAGCTGCAGGGACAGAGCAGGGTTTCCAAATGTGCCAAGGCTCAGGCCTGCCCCGTGTCGGGTGTGCCGAGAGCCCAGACTGCTGGGACGTGACAGCAGTCGGCCTGTTTGTACGTACTAGTTAACTCCCTCTCCACGTCCCCGCACCCCTGCTCACCCCGCCTCCTGTTTTTCTTTCCACCCATTAGGCCATACTGACCGCTCCGCAACTCGCAGAGGTGCCTAGTGGCCTTCAGGAGAAGAGGCTCCGCGATTGATGAGTTGGCCTTGGGAGTCGGTGACTAGGTGAAGCAGGCCAACATGGGTCAGAAGGTCACCGGAGGGATCAAGACTGTGGACATGAGGGACCCCACATACCGGCCCTTGAAGCAGGCTCTCCAGGGCCTGGACTATTGCAAGCCCACCCGCCTGGACCTGCTGCTGGACATGCCCCCTGTGTCCTACGATGTCCAGCTGCTCCACTCGTGGAACAACAATGACCGCTCACTCAATGTCTTCGTGAAGGAGGATGACAAGCTGATCTTTCACCGGCATCCGGTGGCTCAGAGCACGGACGCCATCAGGGGCAAAGTCGGGTACACGCGGGGGCTGCACGTGTGGCAGATCACGTGGGCCATGAGGCAGCGGGGCACGCATGCCGTGGTGGGGGTGGCGACAGCCGACGCCCCCCTGCACTCTGTCGGGTACACGACCCTCGTGGGGAACAACCACGAGTCCTGGGGCTGGGACTTGGGGCGCAACCGGCTCTACCATGACGGCAAAAACCAACCGAGCAAAACATACCCGGCCTTTCTGGAGCCGGACGAGACGTTCATTGTCCCCGACTCTTTCCTTGTGGCCCTGGACATGGACGACGGGACCCTGAGCTTCATTGTGGACGGACAGTACATGGGAGTGGCTTTTCGGGGACTCAAGGGCAAAAAACTGTATCCTGTTGTGAGTGCCGTCTGGGGCCACTGTGAGATCCGCATGCGCTACTTGAATGGACTCGACCGTAAGTGTCTTCCGCAGTGTCCCCAGGTTGCCTGTGTCCCTGGGGTCCCAAGGGCCTGGCCAGAAATTTGTGTGGTCATTGTAATGAAAACGTCTTTGAGTAGCTATCCCAGCATATTCAGATCCTTAGAGGTGATTCTTGCCAGCTGCTGGTTAAATGAAAAATTCTAGCTGGAGCCTGCCAGCACCTGGCAGCACCTCATGGGTGGCCGGACAGAGATGGGTAGAAGGTTTGGTGGGTAGACGGTTGGTTGGGTGGGCGGGTAGATGAATGAGTAGATGGGTGGGTGGGTAGGTGGATGGGAGGGTATATGAATGAATTAATAGATGAAAGACAGATCAGTGGGTGGGCGGGTAGGTGGATAGACGGACAGATGGTGAATAAAGCAATAAATAAATGATAGACGGTCTTTAATAGATGTGGTTTGTTTCCAGTTGACCTATTGCTTCTTAGCCTTTTGGCTAAGATCAGGTGTTTCTGGTTGACCAGTCTTTAGCTTTGATCTGCAGTTGGCCAAGTTCCAGCACAGTAGCCAGTGTCATGGAGCAGGGGTTGCAGCCTTGGCAGTTCTCGGTCCTCCCATGAAACTGAGCCCGTGGCTTCTCCCTCTCATTGGACAGGTGGAGGGCCTTTCTCCCCTGGCGTGGAGGCTTCTGCCTAGGCTCCCTTGGGGCACAGCTCCCTGGGAGGGGCTTGTTCGGTCGTGGCGTCAGGAGGCTTTCTGAGAGGAGAACGTGGGTTACAAACAGGCTGAGTCAGCAGCCCTTCCCGCCTGTCCCTTTGCAGAGACGAGTGGCCTTTGTTAGGCCATGTGCGAAAAGAACTCTCACGTGACAGTACTGTCCTTGTTCGGGAGGCGGAGGGCTTTGTGGCCACCTGGCTGGGAGCCCGTGGCGGCAGGTGGTCCTGGGACTCTGGAGCTGTCCTCCACTACGCTTGACCCTCCCTCTTGGGTCCCTCCTGGCACCTGCAGACCTCGCCTTGCAAAGGGGGTGGCTAGAAAGCTTCGCCCACCCGTGTACTGACTGTCGTTGAACATCAGGCTTGGCCCGGTGCCCCCAGATCTAACCCCCGCTGCAGGACAGGTGGGGGGGGGAGGCCCCCTGGTGTCAGGAGCACAGATGCTTAGCCTGGTCTTGCAGTCTCCAGGCCTTCGGGTTTGAGGGGAGGGCTTGCGTTGGGAGGGGGCTGTCGAAAACTTCTCCATTATGAGCTGGCCCCTGGGGGGATGCTGGGAATGCCCGTGGCCTGGACCCACCTCCGGTTTTCATGGGCAATGCTGAGGACTCCCCTCCTCAGCACCAGAATCCTAACGCCAGACGTGGCTTCTCCCCTTCCCCAGTCTGGGCCCCACTCTGCACCATGTTAACTTTGGAGGATCCAGATGGGAAAACCCATGAGGCGTGGCAGTGTCCTCGACCCACTGCACATGTGGGGAGTAGGGTGAGGGGCCGCTTCCTGACACACCTCGGCTCTCTGCTGAGAGGGCACTCCGTATCCTAGAAGGGTCAGGCTGCTGCTATTCAGAAATGGACATTAGGGGAAGACTGGCCACTGGGAGGCCGGGGAGGAGCTATGGCAGCTGCCCAGGGGAGAGGTGACAGGGGCTAGTTCTCACTTGACATGTCCAGATGGCTCTGTAAGTCTGGAGACAGGGTCTGGGACAGTGTCAGTAGGGAGGCATCTATGGCCAGATGGTGTTTAGAAGTGTGCCCCCTGGATGAGATCACCTAGGGGTGACGGGAGAGGGCTCAGGCCACGCCCTGGGGTGCGTCAGTGCTTTGAGGTCAGATGGACGAGGAGGAGGGGAGGCAGAGTGGCCGTGGGGCTGGAGGGGAGATTGGTGTCCTGGACACCAAGCAAAGAAGGACTTCAAGAAGGACAAGGTGATGCCAGGTGGAGTGTGTTGATGGCTGAGAACTGTCCATGGACTCTGGGGACGAGGCGGTCACTAGAAACCTCGATGAGAGTCACGTGGGCGGGTAGGGCGGGGTCAAACGCCTGACTCAGTGGCGGTTTAGAGGAGCGGGAAGGGTGGAGTGCTATTTCAGGGGCCGTGGGAACAAATGACCACCCGCTGGGCGGCTGAGAACAGCAGCATTCTCTCACCGTTCTGCAGGCCGGAGTCTGACACCAGGGTGTCAGTCTGAGACCAGGGTGTCGGCAGGGTCAGCTCCTTCTGAGGGCTCCCAGGAGACTCCCTCCTGCGCCTCCTCCTGCCTTCTGGTTGCCAGCAGTCCTTGGCTTGCAGGCGCATCGCACTCATCTCCACCTCCTCCGTCGTGCGGTCTTCCCCTCTGTGCTTCCCCACCTCTTCTAAGGACACCAGCCATTGGGTTCAGGGCCACCCTACTCCAGTGAGACCTCATCTTACCCAATGACACCTGCCAAGAACCTATTTTAATGGCGTCACATTCAGAGGTTCCAGATGGTCCTGAATTTGGGTGAGGGGCAGATAGTAGTCCACCCTCTACAGATGTGCAGACAGCAAATAGAGCCCATGCCCATGAGACCTGCCCCTCCTCTTGCCACTGCTGTGGGGGGAGACCAGACAGCCCAGCACTAGGATGGTGGGGTCCCGTCAGATGGTGGGGTCTCGTCAGATGAGGTCAAACCCTTCTGCCCAGAAGGGTTTGCTTTACCTTCCAAGGCAGGTGAGGACGGAGGAATGTCGCAGCTAGACTGGGTCTGGGGTCCAGCCAGGGAGTGAGGCGTGGCAGGTGGAAGCTCTGGCCAGGTTTTCTGGGAGGCCTGGAGTGGGCTTTGTTGTCAAAGCCTTGGAGGTCATTCTGATCCATTATTGCTCCCTGGGACACCCAGGGGAACTCATCTGCACCCTCCTTCCTCACCCCCCCCAACCCCGGCCACCAGGTCCTCACCTCAGCAGGAAGCAGCTGTCTGCGGAGCAGGCCAGCTAAAGCCGCCCCTGAGTGCACCCTGCCTGGGACTGCAGTGGGCATGTGGTTCCCCCAGCCCACCTTCCCCTGCACACCAGGCAGACGTTCCCCCCAACAGAGCCGCTGCCCCATGCTGGGGACCCTCTCCCGCCCCTTCCCCCCCTGACCACAGGCCACTTGTTCTGACTCCTCCTTGGGGGCTTGAGGCCTCTGGGGCTGAGGCTGCCACCAGACAGGTTGCTATGTCATTTTGCTCTTTCCTGGGGGGAAAGGCAGGGGATGGCTCTGGGGTGGGGACACAGAGCCCAGCTGGGGCCCCAGGACCGCCTGCCACCCTCCCTAGAGATGCAGAGGGGAAAGGCCTATTTGCAAGCAGCAGACCACTGTCACCCAAGGGAGAGTCCCTGACCCGGGAGTCCCCCCGTCTGCCCCTGCGGGGAGCAGGCGTCCTCTCCACGGAGGCATTTTCGCTGAGTTGGACACTCTCAAGTTCTCCCTTTCAGGCGCCCAGATAAGTCTGGTGCAGTCTGTCGTGATTGTGGGCTCCGTCAAGGCTCGGCTCACTTCCTCAGGAGCCTTTCAACTTGGTGACCTCCTCCCAGTGTCCGCCTGGGGCGCCTCGCTCCATGTCAGCCCCTCCCTGCACCCCTAGTCCCGCCGGGTCTAGGGAGGGTCCTGTCTGGGGAGACTGACCGCTTCACCCTGCAGTGGCTTCTCTCTGGGGGCAAAGGCCGTGGAGGGGGACAAGGTTGTTCTAGACCCCACGCCTCCCAAAAGGATGGTCATACAGGGACAGTGGGCTCTCAGAGTTGAAGGCCAGGGACCAAGGGTACCCACATTACCCAGCTGGGTGTCAGGCAGTCTTTCCTAGTTGGCAAAAGCAAGGTTAATGTTTCATTTCACTGCTTTCCACTGCAGTTCACTGTAAGAACTGCTTATTTCTAAAGGGAAGTGCACACATATCCTGGGGTGGCTGCCCCATAGCAACTTTCTAGACTCCATCTCCAGGAGCATTTTCACTGCTGCTGCTCACAGGAGTAAGCACAATGCCAGTGACCAGAGTGGAGAAGGTGAGGGTGGGGCCGTCGCTGAATTCGAGGCACTTCCTGACGTGAGACATTGGTCTTTGACTCTACCCATCCCCCCAAAGCTCATTCATCTAGCCAAGAACTAGACAGGTGGTTGGGCTCTGGAGTTCAAGCTGTGTCATGGTCTCAGGCAACTTCAAGAGCCATGAGTTGCGGTCCTGGGGCCTCCAGGTCACCATTTCTGCCAGACACATAGAAGCTGGCACATGGACTGGCCGGTTCCCCAACCTCCTGCTCCCAGAAGTAGCCCCTGACTCACTTCCTGATTTCTGCGCTGCACGCTGGGCACCTCCCCCTCTCGCTCACTTGAACTACGTATATGAGCTTCGGGAGACGGCCGAGCAGCCAGGAGTCATCAGATCAGCTCCGCCCTCTGTTTGGAAACCCTCAGTGGAATCTCAGTGAGCACCCAGCTTTGAGGATGGAGCTGGATACAGAGGCTGCAGCCCCCAGTTAGAAGTATTGAGGGGGCAGGGGGGACTTCTTGGGTCCTGTTAGTGACCGACCAAAACCCATGGGACAGGCATGCTCCGTGGCACGGTGCCCACATCTGCTTCTGTGGCCGAGTGTTCTCGGCCTGACTGGCCTTTGAAAAGCAGTCAGGCCATGGCCTGGACATCACCGATTGGCTCCTACAAGGTTGGTGGAGGAGGGGGGTGACCTCTTTGTCCTTGAGGCCCCTGAGCATAGACCCACACTGGGCATGCTTGTGTGACTGGTCACATTTCTGGCTCGTAACATCAGTGTGGCTGTCAGCTGCCACCCCTGTAGCCCATTGTGCAAGACCTGGCGTGTCTGAAGGACATGTCCCTTCCAGTTGCACAGACCCCCCCCCCCAGAACTGGCTATTTAGGGTGGTCTAAAGGTGCTCAGGCTGTGGAAGCCCCCCTCACACAGCTGCTTTCAGAGGGGCAGGAGTGGTGGGTGGCTGTAGGTCCTTGCCCCTTTGGGTAAACTGCAAAGGGCTGCTGGGAGCTTCGTCATGCTGGCGTGGAAATAGCGGCACTTGAGAATTTCATGGACTAATGTCCATCTTCTAGCTCTTGGCTCTCGGGCCTTGGACCCTGACTCTCCCATCCCCGAGCCTGCTTCCCCATCTGCAGGTTGGGGACCACAGTCCCCAGCAGGCACACAGTAGGTGCTCCACAAGCCACAGCTGTCACCGATGCTTCGATGCAAACCAGCTAAGGGTAAGGGCGGGATGCTGGCTGCGGAGGCCTCTGCTGTTGGAGGTGTTTCTCCGTAAGGCTGTGCGTGAGTTGACCAGAAACCCCGCAAGCCAGGAGGGCATGATGGGAACTACCTCTTAGCCCTCACTCCACAGCCTGGCAGGGTTCTCAGGCATGTTCAATGGGCTCTTGATGCTTTCTCAAGTACCTGTGGCCACCAGGGAAAGCCCTTCTGCCTCCCAGTGGGGGCTGAGCTGTATCCTTGGGGAGGGAGGGGCTGGGGGAAGATGGGAAAGAGCCCCTGAGTGGAGGAGAGGAAGCACCTCCCAACTTCCCCACGTGGTCCAGTGCGGGGGCTGCTCCTCAACTGTAGGTCCAGGCCAAGAGCTGCTGTTTCTGGCCTCCAGGATCGCAGCTGGATGGGACTTGGGAGACCAGCTACACATCTTAACAGATGGGAAAACTGAGACCCAGGGAGAGGAGTCATCCTCTGTGTGGAGCAGAAGCGAGGATCCAGATCCAGGGTCACCCAGGAAAGGATGCTCTATGGTGAGGAAGGCCCAGGGCTCTGCAAGCAGGCAGGGGGAGAAACCCAGCTCCACTCATCTGGAGCCTGTGGGACCCTTGTCTTGAAGGACGCAGGGTCATTTCATTCATCCTCCTGCCTCCAGCAACGGCCCCAGTTCAAAGCTCTCCATGAAAAAAAAAACTTACTACTTCAGTTCCTTCCCACGATGACCCTTGAGAGATGAAAAGCAGTTGTCTTCTTCTAAAGCCTAGAATTCAGCAACTGTGTGATCAATTCTAAGATTTTTTTAAACATCTCAAGTTAGTGCATTTTAAATGACATCTCAAGATTTGTCGAGATGTAATTGGCACACCACACCTTCGCCCATTTAAAATGCATGGCTCAGGGGCCCCCAGTATGTTCCCAGCTGCACAGCCGTCGCTACAGTCAACTCGAGAACACGCTCACCACCCCGAAGAAACCCAGACTCGTTCATGGCCACTCCCGGTTTCCCCACCACCCCAGCCATAGGATTCGGTCTTCAGTACTTCGGTCTTTAACAATATTAAATGTTACTTTTAATATTCTGAGACGTGGTGTTGATATTAAAGAACTTTTATCCACTTTTTGTTGGTGGAATGGGCTCTCTAGGGAAACGCTGGTGTTTTTCTCTTTTTTTTTTTTTTTAAATTTTGGGTGGGGTGGTGGGGTTTGGTCTGATCTTTGTGTTGTTCACAAAGGAGACTCAGAGTCAGGGGAGACCACGGGTGAAGACACAGGTCCGTCCATGTCCAGAACACGGTGGGTTGGCCCCAAGCAGCTCCCGATGCGCTCACCTGTACCAGGCTTTAGAGAAGAGGTCAAGGAAAAGTCAGCGGTGGGAGGAAGGGGGAGCAGAGCCTCCGGGCCTTGGAGGGCATGACTTCCACATTCTTTCTGAGGAGGAAAGTTGACCTGAGACTCGGGCTGCACAGCACTTCAGGGACACAGGACACTGGTGCCTTGGCAGGCTGCAGTTAGAAGCTTCCTTCAAACCCAGGTGCCTGGCACGTCAGGTCCCCTTTGTGCCTACGTGACGTCCACTGTAAAATGAAGATGACAACAGTACCCACACACGCAGCTGGGTTGACACAAGAGGAGTCCCCACCTGAGAGCTGGCGTGGGGTCTGATGGCGTGGGGTGCTGGGCGTCCTGAGTGGAAAAGCAGGGACGGCCTGGGTTGGGTCCTGGCTTCATCTCCTCCTTGCAGTGGGGCCCTGGGCCTCGTTTGGACCCTCCGGCCCTCTGTTTCCTCCTCTGCTGCGATTCTGCCATCATCATAAACCACTGGGAGGATTAAATGAGTTAAATTAGTGCTTGCTGAGAGCTTACCGAGGTGCCTGGCCCAGAACGGGATCTGTGTTGGCTATTAATAATTCATCTAAAATGAAAAGTATCAAATGACCAACTGTGCCCTAAAGCTACCATTAGTGATGCTCCCCTGCCGGTAGTATTCCTTGCAGACCCGTCCAGAGATGCGCTAACCGACACCCTCTCTCTCCTCCACTTCCGCAGCCGAGCCCATGCCGCTCATGGACCTCTGCCGCCGCGCCGTGCGCCTGGCCCTGGGGAAGGAGCGGCTGGGGGACATCCATGCGCTGCCGCTGCCCGCCTCCCTCAAGGCCTACCTCCTCTACCAGTGACCCTCCGCCAGGACCGCAGCACGACAGCCACCTGGTGCCAACTCACCGAGCCGCCTCTGCCGCACCCCGCGCCTTGGACGGGCATCCGCAGCCATGTGAGGAAGGCCCTGCTCCTCCTCTTCATCTTCCTGGCTGCCCTCCAGGACACAGACACTGACAGCTCTGGACACAGGCTCCTCCACTTCCCTGTCCCACCTTGGCAGAAGGCCCCTGCTTGCCGCACCACTGCCCCTCCTTGGGGAAGGACACAGTGGACTCCGAGGGAGCTGGCGCTGAATGTCCATCTGCTCCTGGGGGTGCACGGGCAGCCTCCACCTGCCGGGTCCCAGGGCAGAGCCAACAGGAGGGGCCCGGCATGGAGAGTAGACCCCAGGGGTGCTAAGTGGTGCTTCGACGAGGGGTCGTGTCCCGGCAACCAAGCTCAGGGCGTCAGAAACTAACAGAACACCAGGCGCAACCCGAAGTGGACCTTCCCGCGGGCCGCGCACTCAGCGTCAGCCCCCGCTGCCGGCGCCCCTGGACCCCGTATTTATTCTTTTAACAATAAGAAAAGCCATTTATTTATTCCATTTAGAAAGGGACCTTGTCGTGGTCACCTCTCTGGAGTGTTCTCTTGCTTTTTTTCCACCTGCTACTCCCCCCACATGCGTGTGCCTCACCTGCCCTCGCTGGGCTGTGCATCTATGGCGTGTCCGCAGGTGGGCACGGGTGTCTTCGTTTGGGTCCCTTGACCTACAGTTTCCAGGGGGCTCCGCTCCGAGTCCCCAAGTTGGCCGCTCAGGGAGCGTCAGCCTCAAGTGCAGTGGGAGTGCCTTTGGGGTCAGCTCCACAGCTGGGCAGCCCCCATGTCTCTGCCCACTCACTCACACGTCGGGTCATCCATCGTGGCACGTGGTTTTATTTCCATGGTCTTGTGTGGCTGCAGGGGGGGGTGAGGTTTTGCTTCCCTGCTGAGATTTCCCACTTGCCCCATAGAACTGCCGAACCAAGAAGGGAAGTGTGGGTGTCTGCCTCCTGAGTAGCCAAGAGCAGGGCAAGGTGGGGGAGGCCCTGGTGGAGGTGCGCCTCACGGGGAGCCCACGCAGTCCCTGCTTAGTGCCCCCCTTTCATCACATGCCGGAAAGGTGGGCTGTCCGCAGGAGAGGGACACCCCCTCCGGGCCGCAGCCCCCCTACTAGCAGGCCCCTGCCACTGCATTTCTGTATCTCAAGGTCAACTCCATCTGAGAGTCTGACTTCAGCTCACTTCTGTACAGGTACAATAGATAACTTTATTTGTTTAAAATGTTTAATATATATGCATATATATTTGTCCGTAAGAATTATGTTTTAAACAGCTGCTGTAGGGTACCTTTAAAAAAAAAGTCTTCCAGTGGAATATATTTTTTAAAGCACAAAATTGGTGCCAGGACTGGGTGAGGAATGTAAATTACCCCCTTATTATTGTGAGGGTTTCGGCTTTTTTTTTTTTTCCAGGCATGGAGACCTTACCTGTAAGACTTGTAAAGGTTTTCCTCGCTCCCGTTCCCGGGTGGGTCCTGTTCTGCTGAATGTTGCACGCGAGAGAGTTTCACTCAGCAGATCCGGCCTTGTTGCCCCGACCCAGCACCTCCCGCAGCCGCCGGCCGCATCGCAGGGCGCTCGGCCATCTCTCTGCACTCCCACCCCCCAGCGCCCCACCCTCAAGCCCACCCTTCTCCCTTCTCAGCCCAGAGCCCTGTGGTCTGTACAGTTTTGAAACTCCCATTCTATTTTATGATGGTTGATCATAGTCAGTACCATAATAAAGGAACGTTTACTAAAATACAAAGCCACCTTTGAGTCCTCCTTTGTGCCTTGGGGGAAGGGAAAGAGGCAGAGCCCACCCCTCCTGGGTCCAGCCAGCTCCGCTGCCCATGGTTTTCAACAGATGATGAGGTGATCACCTGTCCCCAGCCCCACCCCTTGGCAGAAGGTGTGATGCCAGCCAGAGTCCCAGAGGATCAGGAAGAACCTGGAGAGGTGGGTCCTGGAATGTCCCCATCCCTTTTCAGAACTCTGTGAGCCAGCCCCCCAGACCATGAGACTTGTGACCTGATAGAAAGGATGACCCATATCCACAGGGGCCTCAGGCTTGTCCAGGTGTTAGAAACTTGGGTGGGCGTGTAGAAACCGGCATGGGGGTCCGTGGTGGAGCCCAGGCTGTGGTCAGTGGGTGAGAGGAGCTGGTCATGCACCTTGGTGTCTGTCCCCTGTGCCAAGCACAGCGATGCTGAGGAGGTGCCGGGTCCCCACACCCACCCCTCAGCAGTGAAAACAGAAACTTCTGGCTTATTTAGAGAACTGGTAAGTGATAAAGAGAAGGGTGACCAGAAATGCACTGGGTAGGATCACATGACATGACTTGTTTCCAAAGAATTAACAAGAGTGCATCCAGCTCCCTCTGGGCATTTTTAATTCTAAAGGCCTATCAGGGTCTAGTGGTGCTGGGGAGAGTGTCCTGGCTCCAGAGGCCAAGACCCCCGGGACCAAAGTCCTGTGTCCCTTTCTCTGAGGGCCTCCTGGCCAGCTTCTCTCCTACCACCTGCACCGGCACCACCTGGGAAGCGTCTGTTTAAATGCAGGTTTCCAGGCCCTGCCTCAGACAGGGCTCATCGGTGTTGCTGGGGCCAGGCCCAAGAATGTGCTGTTTTCTCAAACTCCCCGAGCGGCCTTGCCTGAGACGGTCTGAAGACCACTGGGTCTGCATCAGCGCTCTCTCTCCAAAAGTTGCTGGGTGAAGGGAAATTCCTTCTGTGTGGTGGTGGGTTGGCCCAGCGACTAGCACATGGCCTCCTGAGTCAGACCTGGGTTCAAATGCTGGCTCCGACCCTCACTAGCTGTTTGATCTTGGACGAGCCTCCCTGAACGGCTGTCAGAATGGGCCCATCTCCCGGGTGGGTGGCAAGGGTGAAATGAGGTTTTAGAACTGGCCAGGCATACTAGCGAGTGTGCAAACAAACGCTTTAAAAGCACTGCTTTCTGTTCTGGAAAATGGCAGTCTCTAGGCTGGAACTGATCTGTGAGAATGGACCAAACAATCCTAAAACGAACTTTCTGGTGAATGTTCTTTCCTCCTGGGTACCGTCTCCAAAGATCAAGGTGGGTGTTGGGAGATGGACCCCCAGATGCCTTCCCGAGACATGCTTGGAGGAAAAGGGTGGTCTGAAATTATTTTTAGATTGGAGTTCGTCTCTGGGTTGTAGTTGGAACTCCAACTTGCTTTGAAGGCGGCTGCCAAGAGAGGGATGGGGGTCAGGTGGTGGGGGTAGGGAGGGCGTAGGAAGCACATGGAAAATGAGGGCCTTTGTGCGGCCTGGAGACTTTTGGGGGAGCAGGGTTTCGTGGTGAAGGGAGCAGTCTTCATAAAACCATCTTGCAGACTGGCCCATGTGGATGCAATTAATGCCCTGCCTTCAAGCAGGTAGCAGCTCTCAGGCTTGGCCATAGATGGGAAGAGCCCCCTACACCCCGCCGTCCATCTCCTGCACACGGCTGCCCTCCTGCCCTTCCTCCCACTCCCTCGGTGAGATGAGGAGTGTGGACTTTACTGAACCATAAAGTATGCCGGGGGAGCTGGGGAGAGGGCTGAAGACAGAGCAATTAGTTCATGCTCTAGTCCAGACACCCAGGCATGGTTGGAGTCCAGCTGCAAGGAATATTTGAAATAAATGAGCTGCCCGGGGCCAGGCGTTTGCTGTGTTTTCTGTACGGGGCCATGGCAACCGGGGAGGAAATCATGAGCTAGGGACTGGGCTCTAGAATCAACAAATGATGTCCTGGCCCTGCGAGCTCAGAGGAAGCCACTCACGGCCCTCCCGGGGCTTTGCAGGGCCCAGCGGCTGGCGGGCAGCCCTGGTCTGACTGTCCTCCTGATGTCCTAGCAAAATCCTGTTCCAGCTTCGACCTCCTGTGTCCTCAGCAGGGCTCTGATTTTTACTTTTCTTTTTCTTTCTTTTTTTCTTTTGTTTTTGTAAGAGAGCTAACACTTCTCTGAACCCTTCTTCCCAGGCTGGAGAGGCAGCTGCTGCCAGCCTGCCTGATAATGAGTTTCCTGGGCAGAGGTTGTTCCCGGTGGAAAAGCCCAGACCGAGGGCACCTGGCTGAATAAAGGCGGCACTGCCTTGCCCCGGGTCTGTCTTTCCCCCCTCGCCCAGCTGCTCCCTCTTCCTGGTCGACTTTATAGGCAGGAAAAGCAGAGGCCTCGTTTGGCCCTTCCCTGACTCTCCTGAGGATAGACCTTACAGCTGTCCCTTACAGCCTTCTAAGGAAGGTGTCTTAGAGAAGCACATGAGTACCAGGACTTAGGTTGGGGCCTTAACTTGAACTTCAAAAGTACCTCCCGCATCTGAGTCACCAAGAGACCTTGGGGGAAAAGCCAAATCCCAGAAACTTTGATGCAGCGGTGGGGTGGGAACTGATTCTGACACTTTACCCTGGGGGTCCCTGGGGCCCCAGAATTGTATGCAGAGCTGTGCCCACACAGACCCCCTGCAGGTTCCCACTTCCTTCAGAGGCCTGCAGGGGTTCGGGGCCCAGAGAAGCCTGGAGCCCACCGGGGTGGCAGTCAGCTCTGTCTGCACTGGGTTTCAGACAGGTGAGGGCCCAGAGAACGGGGGCTGTGCCACCGGCGTCTCCCCAGGCACTGAAGGGCTTGTCAGAGGAATGAGCAAGGTGAATTTAAGGGGGGCTACTGGAGGGGGAGTAGGGAACCTCTGCTCTGAGCTCTTCCCCCGGTCCTTGGTTTCCCCGAGGAAATGAGTCCTGGAAAGCGGACCCGGGAGCCCGGAGACCCCATGCCGGCCTCAGAGCCACTGCCCAGGTGCCGTCCAGCAGGGCTGTCCACCCAGAAACTGCTCAGCACCCACCCAGGACCGTGTCTCCCTGCAACTGTGTCCTCACAGACATTCCATCCTCCCTCCCACCTGCACCCCTGAGCCCCACCTTCTGAAAGACTTTTCGACCAAAGTGCATTCGTGAAGGTCCTTCCCAATGGCCTGTTAAGCAAAGCTGCTGTCAGGGTTGCCGATGACCACAGGTGGAATGAATTTCTGCCAAAAAGCAAAGAACTTCACCTTCTAGCTGGTCCCTGCGTGGGGGCTGCATTCGGGGGGAAGGGCCTGGGCTTCACTCACAGACCCTCCCCACTGCCCTGTGCATGGAGACTGGGGGGTCGTTGTGGCCCTGCCCGGTCCAGGCTCTCTGACTCCCGCTTTCCACCTGGCGTTAGCTTCCGCTGGCTGCCCCAATTACGTGCCAACACTGGGTGGCTTCGTAAGCCACAAGTCCTACAGTTCTGGAGGCCAGATGTCCAAACTCCAGGTGTGGGCAGAGCCGTGCTCCCTTGGGAGGCTCCAGGGAAAATCCTTCCTGCCCCTTCCAGCTGCTGGTGGCTCCCCCTCGGCTTGTGGCCGCGTCACTCCAACCTTGGCTGAGTGGTCTTCTCCCCTCAGGGTCTCCCTATCACAGAAGGACCATTGCCACTGATTAGGGCCCCCCTGGATTATCCAGGATGAAGTCATCTCGAGATCCCTAACTCAGTGTCATCGGCTAACACCCTCTTCCAAAAGAGGTCATGGTCACGGGTACTGGGGTTAGCCCTTAGACATGCCTCCGCACACCTTTAGAACCAAGATCCAAACAGTCCCCACCATGGGGTGACCGAGAGGATTTATGAAACTGAGAGGGTGGGAAGCAGCCTGTGGCCAGGCCTCTCAGGGGCGCTGCCCAAAAGGCCAGTCTCCCCATCGTTACCACCTTCCTCCTGCCCCCGCCTCAGACCACTGGGCCCAGGAGAGCAGGTCTGCTGTAGAAGTGATGGATGGACGCTCCTCTTCGGGGCGGGCGCCAGGGCTGTACATGGGATCCACAGGGTCAGTGTCCAGCCAGGTGTGGAGTGAACGTGACACTTGTGCGAGGACAGAGGACGTGGCACCTCTCTCTCTCTCTCTAGGTGACCCTCTGACCAGCTCCAGTAACTGGGAAGACTCGGGCATTGCTCAGGAGTCATCAGAAGGAGCCTGAGCCAGGGACATGATGTCCCGCATGCCAAGTTCCCGGTGGAGACTCAGTGCCCGTCTCCCCCCACCTTGCTTTGGGACAGAGGGAGGCAGCCCGCAACCCTGCAGCTGCCCCAGCTGGGCCCACTCGGAATTGATCCTACAAGGAAATGGAATGTGAACCCCAGGCTATTTAAAGAGCAAGGGAGACTGGAGGCAGGGCTGGGCCCGGGCCGAGCAGGGTGCCTGGGGTCGGCCCAGGGCTCCTCTCTGCACATGGTTTGATTTACTGGAGGGCCGCGAGCAGCTCCAACTTCAGACAGAGAAGTATTTGAAGCAGCTGCCAGATGTTGTGTCTGAGTTGGGTTTTTACAACTTGCTTACTGGTTAGCAGCCTGCCTCCCGCCGGAGTTCAGCTTGCCCCAGCGGGTTCAGGGCCCTGGCACTGGCCCATGGGCCTTTGCTCAGCGCCCTTACCGCTCCCTCCCCCACCACCCAAGTCTGTTCTGCCCGAGAGGAGCCAAGGGTGGGAGCTCAATTTCCAAAGCCTCCAACCTTCATGGGGAGGCAGCTGGCCTGACTTCAGGGCGTCTTGCAGGCACCCTGAGTCTGTGGAATGTTCTGACTGCTGGACCTTCCGGGACAGGCAGGGTCTAAAACAAGCCGTGAGACCCCACAGACAGCGTTGCAATGAGGCACCTGTCAGAGCCGTCCCTACTCGCCAGTGCTGTCCGTGGGGAGGCAGTCCCACCCATTTCTTCCACTTTGGTCACCTGGTATGGCCTCTTTAAATGG